AGTTGAACAGTTATAATGCTGCTTTTTGTATGATATTTTATTTTTCCTAGACTTTCATATGATTTTTGTCTTGAGGAAATTAAACTCTTCCGTTTTACACTTTGAGTTCACCACTTACTATTCCATAATGGACAGGTTCACATATTGATTCACTATTAACCAAGTTCTCTCATAGTACTAGTATTGAATAATGAAGAAGTCCCGGCATGCTTTATATGATGGACAAAGCACCAAACAGTATTCAAAGGTGGACAGCTCCCCATACGGTTATCAATGATGGACAGGTAGGTCCCAAAACGGTTACCAATGATGAACAGCCCCCCCCCGAACGGTTTTCAATAATGGACAGGTCCCCGCACGGTTATCAATGATGGACAGGTAGGTCCCAAAATGGTTATCAATAATGAACAGCCCCCCGCACAGTTATTAATGATGGACAGGTCCCCACACGGTTATCAATGGGGGACATGTCCCCACTTGTTTATCAATAATGGACTGGTTCCCGCACGGTTATTAACGATGGACAGGTCCCCACACGGTTATCAATGAGGTACAGGTCCCCACACAGTTATCAGTTATAAGTCCTCACACGGTACACAATGATTGACAAATCCCCAAGCGGTACACAATGATTGACAAGTCCCCACGCGGTATTCCACGATTGACAAGATCCTACACCAGTGGCGGATCCAGAGAGGTGGGGGGTCTGGTGGTTAGTACCCCCTTTTTTGACGATCAATGCATTTGAATGGGGCCATATAGTTGGAACCGCCCCCCTTTTATAAATGGCTAGATCCGCACATGTCCTACACGATATTAAATGGTGGATAAGTGCTCACACAGTACACAATATTAGACAAGTCCCCACACGGTATTCCACGATTGACAAGCTCCCTCACGATATTCAGTGATGAACATGTTCTCACACGGTACACAATAATGGACAAGTATTTATATTGATTTTGCTATCAGTAAATTAAAATCTAAATATTATTGTTATATACATATGCACATTCATGGCTCTACAATCTGTCGATACCTGTATTTGGCATTGCACAAGGTCATGTTTTTCTCTGACTATTTATGACGTCTTTACACTAAATCCATTGGATGTGTACTGATTGATAATTTAGTCTTAGATGCATGATTTGTTTTTTAGTTGTTATTGGCTTTGAACTATCTGTCAGTAACTTCGAGAACTCCTAAATCTGTACTTCGTGTCCTTTTTGTTTTTAGGGATGAGGGATGGATAAATATCCTGCCACGTCTGGTCTGTGTTTTTCTTTGATAGTTCTGCTTTGTTTTGATCTGATGAGTTAAGCCGTTTTCAACTGATTTTCATAGTTTGTTCTTATGTTGTGCTGTTTCACCACTGTCGTAGGTTAGGGGAGGGTTGAACGCTCACAAACATGTTTAACCCCGCCACATTCTATATGTGCCTGTCCCAAGTCAGGAGCCTTTAGTTCATTGGTTGTCGTTGGTTCATGTCGGAAATATTTGTTTTTCGTAAATTGTGTTATAAATTTGGCCGTTAGTTTTCTCAATTGAATTGTTTCATATTTTTTATAGCCGACTATACGGAATGGGTTTTTCTCATTGTTGAAGGCAGTAGGGTTGCCTATAATTGCTTACATCCACTTCATTTGAACTTTGGTTGATAGTTGTCTCATTGGCAATCATACCTCATCTCCTTATTCTTATGTAATTTTACTACCGGGTAGTCTCAAATAGCATATATTTGAACCACTTATATTTACATAATTCAACTAAAGAAAACAATGATAATATATGAAATAACACAGGTACACTTATCAATGTAAAGTGCTCTTTTTATTTTTACACATAAAGCGAAATATTTATGGTGGACCTAAATTTGTATGTGCAAAGCTCCTCATATTTCACTTGCTTCAAACAGTCAGGACTATACATATATCACATTTTGCACATTTGTTCTGTGGTTATCTACTTTTGCTCTAGATTCAGAGATCATAGATGATTAATGAAACTTGATTAAAACCTAGAAATACAATCTCAAAACATGACAACCTATGAGATAAAGAATCAGCATGCCACCAAGGTGTAAAAATGGGCATATAATGCCAAAATGAGACATTTTACAGAAACTTGTGTAATGTTTTTATAGTTATTTCTGGAAATTGCAATAATCAGTCTTTTATTTGTGTCCATTGTTCAACAATCTAAATAATAAGTCCATGGAAAATCGTATGAATTAATAGTAAATAGAAAACAGTTAAGATTCCCACCTTTTAACCATATGTGTTTTCTTATTTTTCCTGACAATACCTTCTCAGGGAGATATTTTGTTTTGTTGGGCTTTTTCTTTACTGGTGTGACTTCAGTAGAAAATAATTTTTGTGATAATAAGTTCTTTTTCAGTAAACAGTTTCTATTCTTCATCACTATAAAATGGATCACACGAGCTTGAGTTTAACCTTTTAATCTTTCTTCAATGAGCGTTTAGTTTCACCGAATGGTCAGTTTCGAACTGGGACTATTATACTAAACCGGACAAGGTAATCGATAATCAATATATCATGTCCAAGGTTTCAAAGCCAAAATTGCTTATATCTTTGTTGTTAAAAATTAATTTATTTGACTTGGTTTGTAGTGAGGATTATGAACAATTGACGGTTACTTTTTGACAAAAAAACAATATTTTGAAAAGTATGATATGATCTATTATGTGTATAGAACATGTTAGACATGCATCATTACAGTATCCATTATTATGGGTTTATCTAGACAAACGGCTGCATCCTTATTCACCTTGATAACTTGAAAAATAATGCCACCACTACTGATTTTTATAGCCGGACAAATAGTCCCAGCACTATTTATCCGACTAGCCGGACAAATAGTCACAGAACAGTTTAACTATTCGTCCGGCTAGCCAGACAAATAGCAACTGCCTTAATCAAAATATTAAAAACATTTAACAAGTAGGTCTGTATATGTGCTGTGATAGGTAAGTGAGTAAATTTGATTAATTTTTCAAAACAAAATATTACAAAAAATATATTCGTAAGTAATGAACATTTTTTGTGAAAAGAGCCAGTGGTGCGTAGGAAATCTCTTACCATCGACTTCAACATATGAGCTGCGCCGGATAGATATCGACCTTATGCAAGTCCACGTATACATGTACAAGTATAAGGTTTTGATTGATTTTTGAACATTCAAATCCGAAATAAAAGATGAATTTTGGGTCTGTTTTGTAGATTTTCTTAAAAAGTGTGTTACGACTCAATTTTCAAACCGTTACAGACTTTTCATAAAAGATTTTTTCAACCCGAAAAATGTTTACAGATGTATTGATATTCATCTGCATAAGGTCGATTTCTCATATATATAGATATATAAAAACATCACAAAGATCGAACAAAGCATCAGCTAATTGTAACAATAAGCATGCCTACGCATCAAATAAAACAGCAAATGATTTAAAACACAAGAACATACATAACGATTATAACAAATCAAAAACACAAGAACATACATAATGTTTAGAACAAAGCAAGACCACAAGAACATACATAACGATTAGAACAAATAAAAAACACAAGAACATGCATAATGATTAGAACAAATCAAAAACACAAGAACATACATAACGATTAGAACAAATCAAAAACACAAGAACATACATAATGTTTCGAACAAATCAAAAACACGAGAACATACACAATAATTAGAACAAATCAAAAACACAAGAACATACATAACGATTAGAACAAATCAAAAAAACACAAGAACATACATAACGATTAGAACAAATCAAAATCACAAGAACATACATAATGATTAGAACAAAGCATTGAGAAAAGGCAAATTAAGAGTTCACAATGTAAGCAGGAAGCAAGTAGAAGCAAATGGCACAAAAAGAGATGTGATAGATACTTAAGGGATATTCAAACTCATAAGTCAAAAACAAACTGACAATGCGATGCACAACATGTAACCCGGCAATAAGCAGGTACCAAATCCGTTAAAAAGATAAAGCAAAAAGGTTAATCAGTAGTGACAACAAAATGAATATATCCTAATTGATGTCGTTTGGTATTTTTTTCTTTGGTGTGTTGTCTTATTGAGTATACATCTCTTTCATTTTATATTTTGTTAGGAACGTCAACAGATGAGACTTATATTTTAGGGTTTTCTCAAACTGCACATAAAGATATTAATCACTCAAATATAAAAAACGCAATGAATTGACAGCACAAGAAAACTCAAACCCTTTACCAAGAAGCAATCAGCACCAAAAAAAGGGGTCGAAGTAAATTTCTTATATTTTAAAATATTGTTTTTGATGTCTCATCATAAAAAGGTTTGCGGGAAAACCCACTATCTATTAATCTCCAACAATGGAATAACACTACAGTAACTTCAATTACAAATCATAAATATGCATTGAAATTCAATTAAAGTAAGCGTTACATCCAGTTTTAAATTCCAGTCTTCAAAAATATTGCTTTCCTTCATAAGTTCAATGATAGAGGATTGCTGCTTAAAATGAATCTATTAAAACGAGGGTTCCTAATTTGCTAATTGTAAAGCTGAAGTCACACCGTCGAAACTTTAACGGATGCCATCATGATTTAGATGAGAGTAATTGAACATTTGTGTCACAGTCCTATTTATCTGTCCTCGATTTTGACATCAGCGAATGCAACGTATCACCGAATCTGTAGTTTCTATGAGCAACATGACGGTTGTCACAAGTTTACACTTCCGTAGCACTTTTTTCAGTGGGTTCGTGTTGCTCAGTCTTTTGATTTTTGTGTTGTGTTTTGTAAGTTTTTGTTTGTCTTGCCATCATATTTCTTTTATATTATGGAATTGTCTGTTTTTTTTGTCTGACTTGTGGTTTTTGGCTATCCCTTTCATATATTTTGCCTCTTTTTACACTAAAATTTACTGTATATATAGTAAATCTCCAAGCATGATTCATATACTAGTTCTGTAAATTATGAATAAAATAATTGAGGTATTCAATGTTTAATACAAAGATTTTTGTCTTACACATAAGGACAGAAAATCAACATTAGATTTTTTGAATGTCAGGCAAATAAGAGTTTATCAACAAAGTTGTGCTTACGTTATATGACATTTTTTTTGTATCAAAGATTTAGTTGATACATGATAAATTCGATTTTAACCAATTTGCAATGAAATTTATATTGTTTTTTCAAACAAATGTTTTCTATGAAGCTATAAGACAATGTTATCAGCAGACTTGCCGCTTCTCTTCCAATCATTCATACTTTTCTTGAATTCAAAATCTATCGTCATTTCTTTCCGGAATCTTCCAAAAAGGATACGGGAATTTGTACTTTACTTCGCAGTCCGTATGACATTTCTGTCCGGGGGTGAGATTAAACACGAATGTTTCAATTTTAACTACCAATGCAAGCCTCTTGAAGTTAGAGTTGTAACGCTTGATCTTGATAACAATTTCATTACTGATTGGTTTATATTTCACGCGATACAATCCACTCGGAATCTTTCTTTCATTAGTCCATGCAATTCCATTTGTCGATATAAGTCGATATGTCTTTTCGGGACTCTTTTGATCATTGGTAAGCCTGATAAGTTCCTTTAGGAAACAAGAGTCACATAATAACTGCTGTTGATGTGTTTCTGTAATCTGTTGTACCGGATCTTCGTCACCAAATAGTTCCAAAAACATAGATATCCCATTTTGTTTTCTAGTATATTTGATCATTTTCCGTTTGTCCTTTGCGTCAAATGAAAAGCTTTCCCCAGTCGCACACCAAGTTGCAAAGTGTCCTGATGTGACATCCGGAACATGTTGGCGAAACTGTGCCTCTGGACGAATTTTCTGTGACGAAAGAGACCCAACTGGTACTACTTGTCCACGGGTTTTCTCCACAAGAGCCAAAGCTCGTCTTAATATCTTTTCATTGTTATACGTTTGACGACCGTATTGGACTATGTGTAGACCCACTGAAGCTACATCTAGTTCCGGGAGAACATCTTGAACTACAATATCATGCTGTTTGAAGTCTTTTCCAAATAAACTTTTCACAAGTGACATCTCGTTTGTACGTGATGCATGAATGATGTGCATCTGCACACGACTACTCTCTGGAACGCTTGTAATGTTAGAAAGGATAGCATGATAGAATTTCATGTCCCGCTCAAAACAAATATGGTCACCAGCTTGTACTTCGTCGATATTTGAAATCCGTCGGTACTTGATACATTTGGTACATGCGTATTGACTAGTTGGAGAAAAATTTAACAAATCTATCCTATCTTTGCTAAACATATTGACTGGTATAGAAAATCTGAAAAAAACAAAAGGGGTATCGTAAAGTATACTTAGCAACCACTAAAAGGAAAAGTGAAAGTCATGAACAAAATTTGACAATATATTATCATGTAACATACAAATGGACATTTTGGGACTGTAGCCAGAAATTGTTTTCGACACGTTTATACTTATTGAAAAGGCAACACCGCCATTTTAAAAAAATGGAGTTGGACCTATAAAATATTAAATGATTGTAAAACCCTATAAATTATAAAAATACACAGTATGATGTGTCATGGATTGACAGTTGTTTTATAATATCAGTTCCAAATGGAAGATATATTCTGAAATATTATTTCCACTTTGTTTCTAACGGAAAAAATAGTAAAGGATATTTGTTCTAATTTGAACAGATATTATAGCATACTTTACATAACAAAGTTTCAATAGAAGGAATTTCTATTAGGAGGAACAAACTATACATCGGCATGATGCACATTTAACTTTTAAAATAATCACTCTACCTTTTTTAAAATTTATTTCGATTTGTCATTCTTGTTTATTATCAACTATATATAAATATATATTAAATACCTGATTTGTTGTATCATAAAATAATACAAAGATGTACTTGAACTTAGTAATGATCACGTATAATTTAGTCTAAATAAGATGTGTATTTGAAACGCAATTATACATACCAATATACTGTGTATAAAAACGCAGTCATCATTTATAAGGGACAGGACGGATTTCAGACAATACAGTTTGGTCTTCAAACAATTTATCACATATAAAATAAGGATTTGTGGCTAAGTTGACAATGATACAGAGTCCAAATGAAGCGAATTTGAGCAACCATAGGTTACCATACGGCCTCCAACAATGTGTACAAACCATATCGCATGGTCAGCTATAAAAAGCCCCGACATGACAAAGTGGGAAACAATTCAAAAGAAAAACCTAAAGGCCTGGTTTTTGACAAAACAATAAAATAAAAACATTAAATTACAGGCTCCTGACTTGGGTCAGGCACATATAAAATGTGGCTAGGTTAAACATGTTACATACATATAATATTTCAAAAATGTCATCTTTGTGACTTTCATTATCAATTATTTAACAATTGTAAAGAATTAAAACAATAACTAAATAATTATCATAAACAAACATGGCAACTACAGAAAAAACTTCCTAATTGTGTAAATCTGTTATCAGATAATGAACTTTCAAAGTTATTTTTTTAACGCCGTGTTTTAAATGAGGGTCTGTATGGTGGGTCCTTCATTTCTTTATTGTCAATTATTAGCTCATGTTTCTCTTTTCTTTCTTTATTTTTCCCATTGTTCTCTATTCTTCATATTTCAGCACCACATTCTTCGTTACTCTTTATTTTTTTTTGCCTATTTTTCACAATTTAATATTTTTTTAGCCATTTATTCTGCATTTTTTTGTCCAGTATTCTCTATTCTGTAGACCTCACCTAGATCCTCTTGAATAATATAACATGTGAAGTATATATACTCAATTTAAACTCGGCTGTCCTGTTTTTATAAATTGTCAAATATTGATACCCTATACTATTGAATTTTATAACTTATCAATATATATGCTTTATTCATGTATGCAAAGGTAATAGGACGTGGAAAAATACACGTGTACACATATATGACATATGCATTATGACGAAAAGTCGATATGGCATCCCATTAACATTATAAGGAAATAATAATATAATACAAATATTTTGTCATTTTGATTTGTATGCTTTACACTAGTCTTTTGTGGGCCCTTTATAGTGAGCCAAGGCTCCGTGTTGAAGACCGTACTTTGACCTATAACTGTTTCCTTTTTATACATTGTAACTTGGATGGAGAGTTGTCTCATTGGCATTCATACCACATCTTCTTATCTATATTTATATTAGATCAATAGGCTCCTAGGCATTTCAGTATACCCGTCGATTTTGATAATAATAACAAATAATAAATAATAGACAAACAAGCAAACAAACAAACAAACAAACAAAACAAAACCGACTATAACACACAATTTGTATAAAATAAAGAGAGGATTGTGATTGTCAATGAGTAAACATCTATGAAGACCAAAAACAAAGTTGTGAACTATTGCACATTACCAAAAGACCTACAACAATGAGCAACACCCATACCGTATATCAAGGTCCAAAATGCTCCGTCTTGACAAAATGTGTAATATGCAATTTATAATTGCCAACGACCAGATATATACCTCAATTCAACGAACAAAATATCAATATAGCTGACATCAACCCACGATAACCACTGGTTTACAGGTTCTTCGTTTGGAATATCCAAATAAAAAGTGTGGCGGGTTTTTAAATGTTTGTGAGCATTCAACCTTCTCCTTAATCTCGGTCAGTGGTGTAACAAAAAAACCTGTAAACATCAGTCGGAAAGAAGTTTGGTTAAGGAATAAAATATAAGATCTGTTCAAGGTACACCCATAAAAAAATAAAAGACAAAAGTCTTTAAGTTCTGTTTTAAGAGTAACTGCAGTTACTGACAGCTACGTTAAAGACCAATTTAAACAAATAAATAAACCATGTTTTCAAAGATTAAATGGTCGACCACTGACTTTCAACTGGGGAAATCCACATTATTCTAACGACATAATAACTTGATGAAGATGTCAACTTCGTAGTGAAAAATGTCAAGATGGAACTGGTTAAAGTAAAGTTTGAACTGAGAAATATCAACTTTAAAGAACAGAATGTCAAAATGGAAATGAATAATTTAAAAAATGAAATGTCCCTACATGTCCTTTTGCAGTAACGGTTATAGAAGTATACATGTTACCTGTGTGTATCCCTATACCTTAACAGTATTGCAATGAACGTAAAAATTAGTAAAGGCCCTTCAATGTTGATAGTCACCGTTCAAAGGTCTTGACGAGTGGTATTCTGAAGGCAAAGTTCATTTTTGTATGATACCACTATCACAGTTCAATATTATAATTTTAATAAGCGATAAATGATATTTCTAAAAACATTTTTTATGATTAGACAAATAAAAAAATATAAGCCTGCATTACGGTTTAGGAAATCATAATACTAGGGGAAAAACCAACACACTCCTTTTTGTTATGTTTCGTCATAATTACTGTGGATTCATTATTTTTTGTTTAGTACATGTAACAATTTTCGTTGATTTCGTGAATAAAAGAAAACCATGAATTTGAAAGTTGATATATTTTATTTAAGTTTGATCAACGAAAATACAATTTTTCCTCAATACATAAAAATTAGTACCCACGATAATAAATGAGTCCACGGTATTAAAAGTAAAATAACAAAAATACTGAACTCCAAGGAAAATTCAAAACGGAAAGTCCCTTATCAAATGGCAAAATCAAAAACTCAAACACATCAAACGAATGGAGAACAAATGTCATATTCCTGACTTGGTACAGCCATTTCCTTATGTAGAAAACAGTGGATTATACCTGGATTTATAGCTAGCTAAACCTCCCACTTGTATGACAGTCGCATAAAATTCCATTATATTGACAACAATGTGTGAACAAAACAAACAGACGTAATAGGTAAAAATGTCAAAAAGTGGGGTACAACAGTCAACATTGTGTTATAATCTTAATCACTATAATATAAACAAATATGTCAACAAAGAAAAAAAATGGCATATAGACAAAGCACATAAGCAAAAAGGAAAGACAAAAAATGACCATAGCACAATAGCGCAATGGCGGGATGTATAAGTACCGAGCCACGCCAATAGGATATTACAAAAAAAAGACTAAACAGTAAAGATTGATAATTTACAAACATAAATAAGAGAACACTACAACACGTATTTAAGATGATAAACAACGTCAGTACCTAGAATCTATACTTCAAGACCATCATGTATTATATATATATTTGTGAAGTTGATACTGAGTATTTATCAACAAGGTCTTGGTATATTCCGGTGAACTTTTATTTTTTAGAAAAAGATCGAAACGTTCTTTGACATAACCCTGGTTCATCAACTTTCTGCTCAGACAATATTCTCCAAACAAAGGATATGAATGCCTCGATCGCTGTACTTTTAACGCTGATACATCAGGACATATCTATATCTAAATTTAATCAGCACTTGGTACGTTAACCTTACTTTATGGCTATACTTTACTTTAAACATATTTTATTTTCAAGATAAGAAAACTGACAATGAATAAGACACAAGTTTTTAGATAACGAGGTCTTGTCTAAAGACTTTACCTGTGACATATACATTGTGACAGTTGGTTACATTCTATGGCTATATGAAAGCGTTTCCTGATTCGTAATTTTAACAATTGTGTCCTCTTTTCATTGATTGTGAATTTACATGGAGGGTGATGCCTGTATAACAGGAGACGATTACCCTGTCGACGCACTAGGTTTTCTGAACAATTTTAATTTCTTTTAGCTTTCTTACGATGTAGTAAGGATCTCTTATCAGACTAGGTTATACCGCATGTTTCAATTTGGTAAGTCAAATAAGAAAATCAACCATTTATCCCTCCAAAATAACGGCCAAGAAAAATAACTCAAACAAAAATTATGGCATATCGAAACTTATCTATATTTACAAAGAAGGATTTGTACTGATGTTCTTATATATAACTATGTTTGATTATTTTTACAAACCACTCATATACTACAAAACAAATTGGTGGGGTTGGATGGTGGACAACTTTAACTTGACTTAACTAAAAAATCCTTTCTCTCTCTATTCACTTATTTTATCTGTTTGCAGTAGACATTTTAAAAAGCCTAAATACAAAAAATAGGAACTTTTAAAGTAAAATTTGACATCCAAAACATTTTATTTCCAGTATAATGAATGAAGAATAATGTCGCGGACACTCAAGTATGTACTATACGATTATTCTAAATTTTAGGGAAGTCAAAGGAATGAAAAAAAACCACGAAAAGATAAAGAAAAACCATACTAATCAAAGCTCTTGAAATCACACGACATTTTAATTTAATTAGATAATCTAAGTGAGATCATGTAAGTGAGATTAAGCGAGTTGTAAAAAATCTATTATATCGTCGAATCAGATATCATTTAGTGAATGCAGCGACATAGGATTTTTCTTATAATATTAAACTAAACAGTTATTGGAAGTCCTGGTACAAAAGTGGGTAAATATGATACCGGATTAGACGGATATAATTGAATGTGACTCGAATTGCCCGCAAAGTGACCTACTGAATAGCTGCCATTGAATTGCATATGAACAAAAGACTGAAACGACATCACATTTCAGTATTTAGACAAACATTAACAAACAAAGTTATACAAAATGAAAGAGTAATATTTCCTCCAAACATGAAGTTAAAAATAAACACTAATCATTAGAGAATCCTATAAAATTCTTTACCTCTGTTTTCATTTTTGACACAATATCATATTATACAATTCAAATGAACACACAAATACAATTCTATAAACTGAAAATATTGATTTCAGGATATAGACGGACCAACATCAATGCAACAATACAAATATAATTTAATTAAGAAGTCATTTCTTGTCTAAATACACCAAGTATAAGTTGACCATTAAAACATTACGTCTATCTTACCTGAACATGTCCTTTCAATACTATTTAAAGTAACGATTATCTATTATCATATGAGGTAAACATGACAAAGATATTTTTAGAATCGGGAATTTGAAATTCTAAGTTTAGCTTTATCGCTGTGGTTTGTATTTAATCCTTTATCTGGCTATACTATTAATGTTTAGAATCAAATGAATCAGGAATCTGAAATTCTAAATTTAGATTTATCACTGTAATTTGTATTCAATCCTTTATCTGGCTATACTATTAATGTTTAAAATGAAGTAATTATTTACATAGGCGACAACAGTCGCCTTTTTTGGGTTCTGCCTTTTCACTATAAAAGATCCGTTGAAAAAACTGTCAAATTCAGAATTTTCAACACCTTTGTGTGTGGATAAAACTGCAAAACACATATGGTGCCCTCAGATGGTGCCGCAACTTTTTGATAGAAAAATGGCATTTTTTAAGAATTTTCGGAATAGTATTAATGAAGAACTCCCCTTGCTTAATTTTGCACAGAATTTTTTCTCATGACAGTTTCCTCTAAATTGGTCGCTAATTCTACATCAATAGCCAACACTCCTTACTCACTATTTGAATTTTCTTTTCTAATTATCAGGGCAGCAGAAAATAAATTTACTTCTACCAATTATCTTGGATCTAAAAACTAGGTGGCGCCAGTCATCTTTAATGACTTCCGTTTAACCATTAAGGGGAAAAATCTTGTTCAAATTTGAATCATCAGTTAATATAATGTATAACGCGATAACCACATTATTCCTTGTTTTGCCAAGTTACCATATGATATTTACACATGATGGACATTTCAATGGTGTATTATTTGCAAATGTGAATCTTCAACGATGGATAAGTTCTCACACGATATTCAATAATGGACAAACATTAGGCGGAAGATACCAAAATGAGAATGAAAGCTCATACTAGTCGATGAAAGACCGACAAAATCATAGAAATAAACGAAAAACGACAAAAGACAAAGCAACTGTCTACAAAACAATACATGGAAAATCTAAATTCTGACCAAATGTCAAATATTTTTGGTTTAAATTTTAGGCAATTTTCTCTATTCAGAATTCGCTTTGCCCTTTATTCTCTATTCACCAATATTCTCTTTAATTATGTTTTAGCGATATTTCTCTAATTTCCTTTGTTGTGCCTTGTATCCTCTATTCTGCATACCCAACCACACATTCACTTGAAATATGTTTAGGAGATGAACCTCAAATCAGAAAAGCAAAGTCAATATAGGCTCAACTTAAACAAAAAACAAGTTGGAACCTTATTTATTTATTAACAGAAATTAAAATGAAAAAGTATAAATATAGAAAAAGACTACCAGATAATTAAAGAAATCGTAAAAGCACTAGCAGCAATGCGAATCTATTCTATCGTATCAACCAAAAGACAAATGAATAACAAATGTATTTGATAATTGATTGTCTGTCTTTGTAATTTTATAGGGTGTAGAAGCGTTGACCGAAGCACATTTTGTTTTAATTGCAAATCTTAGTACATATATGTCACGTGTTATGTCACAATGATGTCATAATTTAAACATTTGCTAAAATTAAGGCGACAGTATTTTATCGAAGTTTTAAATCTCATAAATGGATTGAGAAGAGACAAAAATTGTAAATGAAGATAGCACTTCATAAATTTCGAGCATCAAAAGAACTTTCCAGGATTTACCTTCACCAGAAATGCTCAAATTAAAACATTTAAATACGTAAAAACGTCAGGAGCAATATGACGAAAAAGGACCTACAATCAATATCTACACTCTGCTAAGTCTAGCTTTGCCTGACGGAGTTGTTATCGTAGTTTCTTAGAAAGTTCTTTATTCACAAACGTGGAATTAAACAAAGTATCTTATAAATCATGTCAATACCAAGTCATTGATTAGTGAGCTGATGAAGCAATCGTAGGCCTAAACCAAAAGTGTTCTACAAAAACATTTTTTATTTCTATTTTCGTATTTTTATTGAAGGGAGGAATTCGCCCTTTTGCTATATCCTGTAGTTTCTACAAATCCCAATGAATTGCACAATTATCGGCTATTGTTTGTTCTTAAAGAGAGGCGAAAGATACCATAGGAACATTCACACTCACAAGAAAAAGAAAAAGTGACAATGCCATGGAAAAAACGAAAAACGATCAAAAGACAAACAACAGTATACAAAACACAACATAGAAAACCAAAGACTGAGCAATATGAACCCCATTAAAACCGGGTTGATCTCAGGTGCTCAGGAAGGGTTAGCAGATCCTTGACATCACAAAAGTAAGAACTTAATTCCTAAGACACCTATAAAATGAAAGAATGAACATTAACTCGTACAATAACCACCATGACTCCAAAGAATGCAAATTACCTACCTTGGAACTAACATTAAAATATACAGTTACTTCTCTTTGTGAACATGACGAAAGCACTTCCTCCGGACTTAGAACGTCACAGAATGCATCCAAACCTTTGTTCTAAGGTTAACAATTGACTTAAATTTTCAATGACACGCAACAATTTCATAGGCAAAACTATTGTAAAGCTTTAATCCACTTTTCATCAATACTTTGCACGTAATTGTACCATTGAAACATAAGGTAAAAACCCGAGATACATATAATTACTAACACTACCGAAGTGTACGAACGAAATGGCGGGAAATTGCCAGTCGGCTAATATTAAAAAAATGGAAAACCAAAAACATCCGGTCACTTATGCGCATTAGTATGATTCAATATGCGGTTTCTATAACACTCTTCCGCTCACGCATGCGCAGAACTTAGTTCGGGTTCTTTGATGAACGAAATCCTATCTGACGTCATGAAACCACCTCCACTTCTACACTTCACACCAAAAATCAAATTGAACTTTCCCTATAAACTTCATATTTTGGATAGGTCACGAATGGAACCTTCAGTGATTTTTTGCAAGGGTTCTTTATCGTGCAAAGATCGTGTGACACTCACTCTACACGAGGCATCAGACACAGTTGAAAGAAACCAGAGGGAAATATAAAAAACAAGACAAGTTTATATGAAAAAAGACTAACAGACTTCACATTACATAACACACACTAATAACATGATTTACTATACTCTCAAGGAAGAAGTTGTTTGGAAGGGAATACACATTTATGCTCAGGTGAAGTCAAAATGTTGCTTCAATAGATTATGAAATAAGATGTTATGTTGTACTTGAAAATTCTCTATCAATTTTGATGCAAGCCCGCAAATCATTGATGATGTCAATTATAGCAAATTATCGCCATGTCTCAAAGTTGTTATATCAGTAACAAATCAGCGTAATTTTAAGTTATATACCGGTCGTATCTTAATTGAAAATGATCTTTTTATCACTGTCAGCAGTTGTATCGCACGTGTCTCGATGACGGCTTATGCCATTTTCCTACTTATTGTCCCGTTTCAATTTGGATAAAAAAAAAAAACAACATTTCCCTGGACGTATCGCTCTTATACCAGAATTACTTCAATTTTTTTCGATTTTGGTAATATAATATGCTTACCTTTCACATGATAGCATTTAGGATTTAGATGAAATTTTACTTTGCTATAGATTTGATTTTTAGTCATGTATGTGAATCCTTTATGGTTTTCTGGTTATGATGTTTCAAAATCAATGGTAAAACTACCTGTACACATTGGTTTTATATATATTTTTCATATTTTTGAAATATGTAATCAAATCAGTAATGTTTTCAATGCTTTTTATTACTTCTAATTGCCAGAGGGATTTTGTAGATGAATTTCATATTTATTATAATATACAATAAAGCTCCGAACAAACGTTTTGGCTGAAGGCATCTAGGCTTACATTTTTCATTTAACTCGAGTCTTAATCTCTTTCAATTTTTTAATTTCATTAAATTATTTACAGTAAAGGTGGAAGATAACACTACAAGGAGATAACTCTGTAAAAATCAGCTGAACGTTTTATTGTTAAGGAAATATTAAGCTTCTCAATGATCAAAATTAGTGTTTGTCAAACTGCTATATATCCAATGAAGTTTTTCTGATAAAGTGTGTGCTTCAAGTTTTTTGAAATTTTTATATTTTTGTCAAAGGGTCAAAGTAAATTTTTGTCAAAATTTTATGAAATTTAACGAGCCAAATTAATTTTAGTCAAGGTGTTTGGTACCACCTCAAGTAAGTTTTTATTTGTCTTCCAATGATATTCTGTTCTTTGTAATTTGAAATATTGATATCAATTATACATTTGAGACATTTTCTAATAATATTTTCATTTTACGAGTTCAAGATAACATGCACAAAATATAACATAAACATTTTGATTTGGGGGCACATGATAAAATATTACTCTATGTGCAGATATGACGGAATGCGAAATACCCATTTATAGGACCTTTGTTTAAAACTGAATTTGTATTAAGTATTTTAGGTAGGGTTTCACTCTGTCAGACATCCCTTCATTTTGATTTTTCAGAAAGACTTCAGGCAGTAAGGCTGAGATACATGATTGGTGGTTAGTTGTTATTGGCTTTCAACTAGCTTTCAACAACTGCGATTACTCTCAGATCTGTACTTTGTGTCTTTTATGTTTTTGTCAGTTGTTTTTGTGATTGCTATCGATCTGATGAGTTAAGCCTTTTCAATTGATTATTATAATTTGTTCTTATGTTGTGAAGTTACGCCACTGTCCTAGGTTTTGGGTGGGTTTGGCGCTCGCAAACATGTTTAACCTCGCCACATTCTATGTTTGCCTATCCCAAGTCAGTGTAATTCTGTAATTCAGTGGTTGTCGTCTTTTGCTGTATATTATATTTGGTTTTCTGTATATTGTTTTGTACAGAATCAGGCCGTTTATTTTCTAGTTTGGTTTGTTTTACATTTGTCATTTCATGGTCTTCTATAGCTTACTATGCGGTATGGGGTTTGCGCATGGTTAAAGAACAGACGGTGACTCATAGTTGTTTTTTTCTACTTTACTTGGTCTCTGCTGGATAATTATGTGATTTGCAATCATAGCACTTATTTTCTTAT